TAACAATGCATTTTTCATATAATTCCATATGATTTTTATTCCTCACAAAATAACTTTTATTCAAGCCCATTCATGTTCCTCTGCACAACCTCCTTTCAGCTCATCATCCTCATATCGGACATGTCTTCCATTTGAGAAACAGCTGGAAGGCACTAGGTGCTCGGTGTGAATAATATGTAGGATGTGGATGTTTCTCAAAGTGGCATTCCTTGACAGCGTCAACCTTAGCAACTCTTGCAGTGTGCGCTGAGGCATAGTCACATCGGAAGAAGGGTGTGGCTCAAATATTTCCGTGCTGTTTTTCTTCAACTTCTGCAGTTGACGAGCTATGAACATCTCCTTGTGTGGCATGAAGTCAATGTGCACCACACCTCTAGCATCCTGACTGAATTTCTTGGGTGTTGGAGAAAGTGGATAGTTTGACTGCATCTACTGCCATTTGGACTCTGGGTCTAAACGGTAAATGAAGGCCCCATCACCACTAAGACATTAGCTCTTTATATTGTACCTTTATCAGATCAGGATTGTTATGAGAAGTTATCAGATGCTCCCTCGTCATGTCATGTGGGCACACAACTTGTTCATTCCCAAACTATAATTCAAGATTGTCTCCACTGATCCCACACTGGCATAAGCTAACTATGCAACAGTATCGGCAATCACAGGGGGGGGGGGTGGGGTCATATTCAAGAGTCTGTCACAACAATATTCTGCAGCCCATTTTCTACCTGTTGCAAATTATAGTCTATTGCCCCCCCCTTTCCAGTCACTTTGAACATGCGTGCATAAATTGCCTTCAGTCCAGTGTTCATTTCTGTGAAAAAAATGATGACAGCATGATGCTTGCTTTTCTTTGTCGACCGGCAATAGACGAAGCATAAATAAGGAGCGAAGCAATCTGGAATATTGTTGCCTGGATGTTTGAGGGTACTCACCATCGACTGCAACATTTAAGGTCTCATTTCCTTTTATATTAGACAGACTTTTTGTAACGGAATATACATATTAATACAAAACTTAATATTTACTTTCAGAGTACATCAAGTGTCAATCCTGATATATTTCACAAATGTCTCATTTCCGGCATTGATAAAATAGACCCAGGTGTTGTGCACAATAATGCGCAGACGAGGTTTAATTTCATTGTTCAATGTGACACTGAGAAATCCAGATTCAAGTATCAATCATTGAGAAGCTATACTTTTTATTGGTTGCTCATATCTCATAGCATTTACATAATTTGATAGTAAAGATAATTATAGTTAATGGGGTGTTGTCATTGTCCATGTACATACAAATGCAGGACATTAAAATGGGGAAAGGATATTGTAGATAGATGCACAGATGCAGAATTAGATGTATACATTGTATACAATTAGTGGTCCAAATACTCTAATATTTGACCTTTTCACCCAGGATGTTACTTGAGATATTTCATATGCTGTCCTTGAATACCTCTCGTCTACTCTCGTGGTTGTGAGTGAAAGCAGGAAGGCACAGACATATCACCTACTCCCATTTGCCTCCAGGAGGAACCGTAATTGTTCCACTGTAATACAGTGGCAATCAATATTGTATTATATATTTTTTAAATCTATTTTCATACGTGGGTCATTTCATTTATGCATCCCAGTGTAAAAAAAAGTGAAAACTGACATTTAAATTATCACTCGAAGTAAATAATAAGGTCTTAAGTTGGGAAGATAAAACATTTACACTTGAAAATGTGTCAAGTTACAACAGGGTCATTTCCAATTGGATCATTGGTTCGATTCCTCCTGCTTGCCATTACTGTTGAGAATTACCAATGCTTGTTGTCTACTGAATAAACTGTTTAGGAACAGACGGAGAAGTCGATGTTGCACTGGCATTGCAGCACCCTCCTAAAACTAATCCCACATTTTAAAATGTTCTGCTTAATGGCAAGGAAAAAGATAATGATTCCCCTTATGTAAATATGATCGGTTAGGTTACATTCATAGCCTAACCTACATGTCACGTTCAACTTGTAAATTACCACATCTACATTTCCTCTTATATTGTTGATAGCAAAATTGCCACAAACAATACTGGAATTAAAACTTTAATTTGTGGAAATATAGTATGAGGATACACCTATAGTTAATGTTTTATTTGAACTAAAGTAATGTATCTTTTGAGGCATTTTCGTTATTAACGCAGTAATTTAAAGAATATTTCGGTATGAAAGCCATTTATTTAGGAAGAGCCTAATAAAGGTACACATGCTAGAATCCCATCAGTACAAGCCTGAAAGGGAAGCCATTATATAGACCTTCCATTGTATTTCAATGAAGCCAATTATGTAAATTAGGAATTCAAATTCTATTTCAAATAACTCATGGAGATTGCACAAATTACTTCAGAACTAAGTACTGTACTGCATTTCAGCCAGGTTCCACTGTGTGTATTATGGAGGAATATGACAATGTTTCACATTAATTCGCTCAAATGTTAGTTTTAATATTGATTTCAACAAGTTGGCCATAGTAAAATTTTGCTCAAATATTCTGTATATGTTGTAGCATGTTGATAATTATAACAAAAACATTATTCACAATTGCTCTAGGATTACGTGAACAAGTTAGCATTGTAAGTACGCTTTTGAACATAATGAAATGTTGATCAATTGTAAACTTTCACAGCCCACATTGTTGTCATATCTATCAAATATCTGTGTAAAAAATACTGGAATACTTGTGGCAATATATTTGACACGTGCATATTTTTTATCTGCTGTGCATGTGACTGTTAAATGCTATCCAACCATCGTGGCTTGCATAAATATTAATGTGATAGCTTTATTTGTGCTGGAGCCTGGACAAAATATTACTTCATTGGTAGCTACAGAGATACCAGAGTGGGTAACATTCGAGTGTATAAACCTATAAGTCTGCAAGGGAAATGAATGGGCAGCCCATGTGTATAGGTTTATGGGTTGCTCGTGTCCTGGTGAGTGGGCATGCCAGTGATATTTATGGTTTCAGTGTTGGCGGTTCTTAATGGTTATGAAAAGAAAAACACAATGACATTAAAATCACGCTGAATGAGAAAAAATACAATACGCTCTGACGTTGAATATTTTAAAATGTGTGATGGGTAGTTTGTGTCTCCCCTGTTTGCATGCATGTCAGTAGTGTGGATGTATGCTACTGTGAGCATGTCAGTGGTGTAACTATGCTAGCAAGCGAGCTAGTTAACATATATGCAATTTATTTAGCTCTTATCAGGCTGACAGGAGAATGGAGGGGCATGTTGTATTGATTTTTTGCATTGTTGCATATTTTTTTATTGTGTACATCACCATGGACTCTTTGTTAAACAGGTCAAAGGTTATTACTGCTTCGTTTTATCTTGACTGTTTTGTATCAGGACATGCAGGATGTTAATGCATCTCCTTCTAAAACGTGTGTTTTTGTGAACACGATTATAATGAAACTTGTTTGTTTAACATTAGGATGTCTGTCCCAAGTTACAGAGCTTTGGTGAAAATGTTTCAATTTCTGCTATTTATTTTTAATTTCCAGCCACCCACACCAACCATGCCCTTTAAAGGTATGTAGATTCAGTAGGATATGCTGTGTGGTATTCATACCGAGTAAACACAGCTGCAGTCCAAAATTCAAGTCCAATGGTGGTTTCACAACTTGTACTCCCGTGCCTCTTCCTTTTTAGACGCTACACTCTTATGCAGCTGTAGTCCAAGTACAGTAATTGGTTAACACGCGCGCCTTGTTTAACGCGCGAGATACCTTCTGCGAAAACGTTGTGAAACGATTATTGTTTTCCCATTGACTCCCATGTAAAAAATCTGAGTTATGTTTGAGCCCCAAAATGTTCCACTCTTAAGCAACTTTTTTTTACGTGAAAAATACAAATAATACATATTTTAAATAAAGTAAGAAAACATCGAATGTAACACAACGCATGAAGAACCACAGTGCAAGATCCAGGACCGATTCAGATAATCGTCACTGGTGTTGGCCGTGAGTGAGAATCGAACTCGCTGGGTTCGTAGCGCCGCATGCTACCTGTTCCAATACCGCTCTCGCCCACCTACCCATTACAGTACCACCATGAGCGAGGCCCCTTTAGGGGCCATCCATTTAGTACGTACGCGTGGAGGGGGCAGGGGGGGTTAACCCATATGGTACGCTTGCGTATTGGGGGTCTACTGACAATGTGCATACACATAGGAAACGGGGGGGGGGGGGGGGTGAAGCCTCGATAATAATTTATCAACATTGGCCTTCAAATGAGTATCTGTTAGCTTAAACACGTTAATATTATTCATCCTTGATCGTTTTTGCGTGGATTAAATATCGGCCGTTCTATAGGATTGGGGGGGGGGTCAAGCGAACGTATGCAGGTGGGGAGGGGGGGTGTTAAAAGTCCGCGTGCGTTCAGGGAGGGGGGGGGTAAAGTTTTGACAGATGTTTTGCGTACCTACTAAATGGATGGCCCCTTACCCACAAGACCAAATACGCGTGCACTCGGCACAACACAACTGGTAAGCAAACGGCTGCGGGCCACCTTGCACCCCCTTGTGCCACGGGACTCATTTATCGATCTTTGTCCGCTCGATAAACGAACATTTTGCTCCTTTTGCAAACGAATGGGGCTGATATCAAATTGCTCGTTTTAGAAAATTATCGTAGAAAGAACGCTCGTTAAGCAAGACACGCCTGTATTTACAGTAAACACGCAGTGTGTGCGCTTGTAGTCGAGCGCGTTGGGAAGATAGTGGGAGGATAGTGGGAAGGTAGAGCAAATGAAGCATGGTACAAGAGGAGACGGAGAGCTGTGTTCGCTTCTGTGGGTGTTCTGCGACATCTGCTGTGATCAGAGCCAACATTTTTCATAGATAAACCCCAGCAGTAGCAAACAAAAAATGTTCAGTAGCTGAAGACATTTCTTAAAAAGGATTTTTTTAAATGTAGCTAAAAAATCTGCTGCGCGCTGTTTTTTTTCCTTCTCTGCAGGCTTTGAGAGCATATTGGAGGGGCTTTACGGACCAGGCTTGCTCAGAGACTTGAGCCTGTTCGATGGTATGTCATTTTACTGCCTTCCATGTACAACCACTATAAATGTTTTGTTAAAGCTGACAGTACTGCATGTTATCCTTCAGTGCTTGTTTACTTTGTATTTAACGGCCCAAGGGTTTTGCACCAATTAACAATGTTGCTGGGTTTTTTCATCTGAGTATTCTGGGTAGATTCTGAAAATAATTGTTAAATTTTTTGACCAGATAATTCATGCTAACTGACGTTGGTTGGTTTTCAGCATGTGTATGTGTGTGTTTATGGTAAAACGGCAGTTAAGAAATGCTAAATTACCAGGTATCTCCTTATGGACTTAATTAATATTGGCCAGCTTAGACACACCTAAGAACCCCTAAATCCTACAATTGCAGCCTATAATCTAGCCAGTTGGAATTGTAGCATGTGCAGGCAGAGGCTGCATTTCCATCTCTAAAGTAAAACTGTTTGCGTGTGTGTTTCTGTGAGAAAGAAATTGTAGGTCAGTGCAACCATTAAATTATTGCACCATAATTGGGGCCACACAAGGGGCAGGGCTATTGTAATTCCAGTTCTGACTTTGGTGTGTTTGTCATATTTAGTGTGTAATCCTTGCTGTCGTGACTGTATAAAAGACAGGTCAGATGATTGATAATTTATATATGCAAATGTTGCAGATAGACTTTTTTTTACAAGCAAGCTTTGTAAAAAGATGTCTCCTTTGTGATTTGTAATTGCTTAAAGAGAGCATCTAAGCAGTCATTATAAGCAGGGCATTTTACATGGTGTTAAAAGACTTGTGAAAATCATTAGAAATGTTTTCTAATGATACGCAAAAGCCAATTATCATTGTACACGGTCTCTTTTTTGCATTTTCTCTCTTAGCTGTGACAATAGTACTCTATGGAATTATTAATGCTAAACGCCATTATTCCTTCATATACGGCATGGGTTGAGCGCCGCTGTGGGAAACTGGATTGGAATTACTCTACAAATACCCTTTGTTTATGAATGAACATGACCAAGTTACTGACTGTGGATGTGCAAACTGGTTATTTCAGACTGTGAACCCGAGGAAGTCTCTGATTGGATAGTAGATGAAAACTGCCCCTTCTGCTGTCTACGGCGGGACAAAGTAAAGGTGAGCCACCTGGTCTCTCCAGGTATAGATGTCTGAGCCATGCATTTACATGTTATTTATTTAACAGATGCCATCCTTCTGACTGTTTTAAGCAATCGTCAAATATTTGCTTAAAGGGTTGGTCAGGAGTGTCATTGGTTTTTCATCGCAAGTCTCTGCTTGCCTTTGTCAGGAGCATTTGTCATCTCCATCGGATGTGGACGGTGCGTCGGATTCTACAGACACTGCTGAGCAGCTGGAACGTGAAACAGAAACTTTTCTCCACGCTCTCTTTCAGCGGAAAGGTAAAGCCTATTATTCCACCGTTTCACTAAAGTAACAGTTATTAGCAGGACATTTTTTTCGCTTAATAACGTAATATGACAACGACAGTTTTAGCGAGTGTCCTGCAATTAACGCCGTACTTTTTCTCTGTTGTTACTACTGCTTAGTCTCTCCAAATGAATAATTTTTCGTGATAAAATTGGATTGAATGCTTTTCAATAATACACGTATTTAGACAGTGAATGAACATTTCAGATTTTTAAAATGTTTTTTACTCTCTCTTCCCCTGTAGATCCACCAAGAGCATGTAACCCAGCCATTCCACTGGTGGCCCGCGAGATCATGTACAGAATGATACGACAGTTCGCAGCCGAGTACGCGCAGCGTCGGGACGCGGCAGCCGCCGAGAAGGATGGCTGCGAAGCAAGTCCCATGGCACCACCCCCAGCCGCTGACGCAGCCACCTCGGTGCCGTCAGCAAAGCCCTCCTGCCCCACGTCCAGCGGGTGTGGCGTCGTGTGCCGTTGTCTTCTGTGCGAACTCGTTCGTGCTGCCGCTTTCGCTCATTTGCATTGTGAATTAATCTAAAGACAAATATTTATTTCGAAAATATATACTTATCAATTGAATTTCTGTACACTCTTTGGAAGTGTGTTCAGTTTTTACCGTGCGTTCGCCATAGAGCGGATCATCCCGCACGACAAACGCATCAGACCTATACAGAACAACCGTGAAAACATGTAGCACCAGTTGATTTTTCATGTTAAAGCAGGGGGGGGGGGGAGGAAATGTTCCCTTAATGCAGGAGGAAAACATGTTTCACTTAAAAATGCTTTGGGTTGTGGTTTCCGTGTTTCCGTGTGCAGCACCACGTTGGCCGTCCCTTCAGATCTGGAACACAAGGCCGAGAGTCCTCCGCAGGAGCCTGCAGCGATCCCAGTGAAAGGCACAGCCCCCACTCCTCTGGCAGATGACTCCATCCTAAGCAAGCTGCTGTCAACACAAGATGAACATACAGCAGATGAGGAGGAGGAGGAGGAAGAAGAAGATGAGAAGGATGACGAGGATGGCCCTCTCGACCTGTCCCTGGGCAAGAATACTCAGGACTGCAAATACGACCAAGGTAGTAATTTTCACTGTTTATTGATGGTTGCCCATTATATTGCTGGGATGGGGCTGCATGTTTCATTGTTGTTTAGCATTTACCAACTTTGCTGTGTTTTTGAGCACTTGGGCAATATTGCTATAATTGTGACATACTCCAATAAGCTTGTCATTTAAAATGAAAAATACATCCAAATTAAAAGCTATCATGTGTTCTTCATCTGCAATTATCTGCAGCCGAATTATGTTGTCTTATTTATTTATTTGTAGCTGGCGTGCTGGACCTCTCCACCAAAAAATCAATGGATGCTTCTAAATCCCCGTCTGCAAAAGCATCAGCTGCAGGGTAAGACATACATTTTGTGCACTGGTATGCACGTCAACACTGTAATTACCCAGCATATTAAGTATACAGTAAATCGTAGCGGTTGTTTCATGTGCGTTGGCAATCATTTTGAAGGTGTATTGAAAAAAAACCGTGTGCGAAAAAGCTGTTAAAAATGTGCATGTTCAAACTTCATTGTTATTGCTCTGGTGGTGGCCGGGGTTTTGGTGGAGCGCTTTTCTCTTGAGCGATATTTTTGTGGTCAGTTTCAGGGATCCCAGAAGACACAATTAAGCTTCAGCTGCATTTATTTTTTATTATGATCAAAATGGAAGCAACTTCTTGAAACTGCAAAGTTTCAGCTTTAAATGGCTGCACAGTGAAATCGCTAGAAAGTTGGAAACCTAAGAAAAAAAGGATGGTGAAGTTTTGCATTCAAAACTTCAATTGGAAAAAAAAAATGACTTTTATGATGTTCAAATGGAGAAGTGTTTTATTGCTGAAGTTGATAGTTGAAAAGAAAACAGTGGACCCCCCCTCCTCCAGTCCCCACCAAACCCTGGTCACGGCTAGGTCAGTCCAGCCCCCTATGACCCTCCCTATCCATTTTGAGCTGAGCTGAGCGCGGGTATCATTCCGTCCTGTGCCTCTAGGACCAGCCGCCTGGCCGCGGGGGACTTGTATGGGGAGGAGAGGAGGAGGAGGGGGTCCTCGGACAGCCTCGGCCTGGGAGCATTACGGCCCACAGGCGGGGCTGGGGCGGAAGCCGATGCAGACACGCGGGGGGCGGCCACGCTTCAGGGCATGGCCAAACGTGCCATTGAGGAGGGGCTAGCAGAGCTCACGTGCCTTGGCACAAGCAACGCAGACGAACTTCGCATCAACACCTCAGAGGGCCGAAACCTCGCGCCATGGCTGGGAGCTCTTCTGAGTGAAGGATTGGGCAGCCTAGTAAAACAAACGGAAAGCACTGCAGTGAGGCAAGATGGGCGGCATTCAATGAGCTCATCCAGCTTTCTGCAACAGTTGGCACTTAAACGTATGGCAGCTCAGGCAGTTAGACTGCAAGATCGTGACATTTCTGGGTCTGGTTCAGTTTCCGGGTCTGTGCGTCTTAAGATCCCCCAGTTTCGCGTCAACTCTTCAAGCGCCTTGTCCAATCCGCTACCGGCAGATGTCAATGCAACCTCGAGCATCGACAGGGCCTCTCCTTGTGCATCGTCTGCTTTGTCGACTGCGAAGGACGGCTCCAGCATTGGACGCAAACTGAAAGCTATCCTGCCTAAGCAGCAGAGTGTCAGTTACCTGCCAGCAGAACTGCATTCCCTCAAGATCCTCCAAGGCAGCTGCAAGCAACAACAATAACAATGACTTGGCCCTGCTCAATGGGAAATATCTGGCAGATCAGGATGTAACACGGCCAAGGTCGCCAGAGGTGGGACCGCTCCTGACCGGTCTAAGACAAGTTCAGGGAACTGATAACGGAGACCCAAACAAGCAGCCGCGGCGAAAACGTGGTCGCTACCGGCAGTATGACAGCGGAATCCTAGAGGAGGCAATCAGCATGGTAATGAGTGGGCGGATGAGCGTGTCCAAGGCACAGGCCCTGTACGGCATTCCTCACAGCACGCTGGAGTACAAGGTGAAGGAGCGTGCGGGCACACTTAAGGTGCCGCCAAAGCGCCGTCGAGTTGACGGAGAGAGCGACACAGGGAGCAGACTGGCGTTCGGTTTTACGGCTTCTGTGTCGGACTGTGCTGCCTTTAACTCCGGCTACTCAACCCACAATGACATTGCCCCAAACTCGACCGCTGATGAGAACGATACAGCACTTAATGGTGGAGAATAACTGCATTGCTCTTAAATTTAAAAAGTAAAGAGAAATGTGCAATGATGCACTTAATACCTTTCTAAAAGGTACCACCTGTATAGTAAGTCAATAGGCAAAATCTGCCTGTTGTATGATTGCTGGCAAGAGAAAGTCAAGGTTTATGAACACAGCAAGGCTGCAGCCATGTCGGGAGAGAGGTCTGCTGCTAAAATTAATTACAATGTCGTGTTTTGTGTTGAAAACACTAATGTATAACGTCGTAAAAAATTTAATCCATTCGTAACTGATCCCTCTAACATTTTTGTTAATTTTAAAGATTAAAAAATGCGAATAAATTTAAGAAAATTTTTAGCAGTATTTTACGAGCATTGTAGGCTATCAAAATTGTGAAAATCAACGAGACTGTCATATTTACGATGGTAAGCCATCATTTTTCGGTTGGATCACTGCCACTAAGTATGCTTGCAAAATGGACTACTTGAGAAAACATATCCTGTCCCTAAGAGGAGGCATTTTATTGCCGAATCAAGGTCCCGAGCCTATCTCTCGACATGGTTCGGAATTGTGAGTTTGCATGGTAATTGTGTGCGGAAAGGAAACGACATGTAGAGTATGGTTTCAATAGGTTTTGATGTTTGCTTGCCATGGTAGTTGCTGATCAGTCATGGTTAAAATATGTGATTGGCGGATGTTTTTGGGAGGGCTACATGGTACACGAAGGTAATGCAAGAAGATATAAAATAGTTTCTTAATATAACAAAGAATGGCAAAGGTGTTATGAAGTATCCAAATGTTAATAGTGATTTTTTAGGAGCATGAGTTGTATTGTAATTCAGGATAATTACATTTATAATAACTAACAATATTTAGATATGGCCTGCTCTTTAAAAATAATAGAAGAACATGTTATGTTTATGCAGATGGTTGTCCATCAGGGATTAGAGTGCTGTGTGCAGCATTTTATACAACAAAGGCTTGAATTTGCTCAAGATGAAGATTTATGACATTTCAGTTTTTTATTTATTTGAAATGCTTCTGAAATAAATGGTAAGGATGGTCACGTTGTGGGTCCAAACATTTACCACTTGAATACGTTAAGCTTGACCAAGATGGAGGTACCGTTGTAGCTAATGCAGATTGTGGACACCTTTAAATAGTTTACAGTGAATGTAGAGTAAAAAAAACTGTCGTAATTAACCTCCCTGCTGAGAATTAAACACTGTTTTTACAGCAGTCGACTGGTCCGCACCTTTTAACGGGTCACTGTAGCATCAGCCTTTACCGTTAACTCCTTAATAGTCTTCAGGGATATGCAGTACTATTCTCCTTGTCCTACAAGTCTGTGAGACTGGCCAGTGCTTATAGATTTTCTTCCTCTGCACTCTCCATGCACCGCGTGTAAAGGATCACTCTGCCGAAAGTGCACCACGTGTATTTTTCTGATTTATTATTGGCATGACCACTCCAGCTATAGCCATAGGGGTTAATTGCTCTATGCCTTATTGAAGAATGTTAAGGCACGGACGTACATATAATATAAATTTGTAAAAGCTCATAACGTTGTCGTAATAGTGCATTATGTAAAGCAGTCTTTTGTCTCCGGATTGAAGTAATATTTGTCGCTTTGCTTTCAGGGACAATTGTAAAAATCTTACAAAAATTCAGTATTTGCAAAGCATTGTTTCTCAGCAAGCTTGCTGGTACCATTCTGGAAAGAGGCTTCATGATTGATTCGAGGCAGTTCTTAATATTGGTGATCTTTACATGTAGTGCATGGGCGGTGGGCACAGGGGACTAAGATACATTTAATCTCGCAGACTTCTTTTCCTCAGGCCTTACTCTGGCACTCCTCAGTACACTGGATTACAACTCATGTCTATTTGTATAGTGATTTTTATTTATTTATGTTCTGTTCCTAAAGATGTAGAGTGGAACACCCCAGGTGCTGGAAACCCATCCACCGTTTTTTATCTCCTGCTCCAACACTGTTTTTTTTAGTATAGGCAGCATCCTCGATTCGAGCAGCTGAGTCCATGTAGCAGGCTTGTCTTTCTGTGTTAACTTGCAATAATTACTGATTGTCACTCGCATGATGGTATATTAGTATAGAGCCGTTAGGAATTAAATCGCATGCTTAATTGCTCATCCTGCTTACAAGCCAACTCGCATAAATCATTTCCTTTTTGATGCCGTGCCGCATTTCTTGCATTGCGCACGTGAGCTCATCTTTGCATACACATTGGACTCGTGTGCCTAGAAAGATAAGGCTTGTACAAAAAAAAATTGCTAAATATTTCATTTTATGGAACTCAATCAGGCCTATTCACAAGCGCAGGTTGTGTGTGGAGGGTGGGGTATTTGTTTATGTATTGTATATTCCAGCAGGTTATGTAGCCATGTTTTGGAAAAGTAAATTATTTTTGCAATATATTGGATAGGTTCCTATTTTCCCCTTCATGTTTGTATACATTTCATTTCATTGTTTCGTTTTTTTTAAACATACTAATTCATTTCGTGTTAATTTACACTTGCTTTACAGTGAAACGTGTTTTGTAATGTTTGATACATTTTCCCATATTTTTTTCCTTTTGCCAGCATGGCAAGTAAGGGTGCAGTATTTATTGGCGTGTATCTCAAAATCAGTTGCATTGTTATTTTTTTTTTGCTGAGACGTGCTTGTGGTTGGGAGCTGACATTTCGTATCATTGTGAATGTAGATACCGGTGTTGCACAGAACGGCCGCATTGATTTTTCAGATACAGTAACTTTGTAATGATATCCCTCTATTCCACAGCTATAGTTGTATTTTCTTGGTTAAATGTAAGCCAATTTCTATACTTTGCAATTTTGGGGCGGGGGAGGTATTTGTGCATTTTTATAATTTATGCTCTTCTGATATACTGTACCGTAGCACTTGTAATTTTTCTATTTATTGTTTATTGTAGCACTAAATCTGTTGAGGTATTGTGGAGCAAATATCTTTTTATTCTGTCTACTAAGAAGATGAAAAAGTCTTAGGTCTCATGATTTACCTAATGCAAGCACTTATGCTTAGTGTGTACATTGGTCGTTAATGGAGTGGGATGTGGTTTGATCTGGAATGAATGTGCTTTATCTAAGGTAAAGTGTTAAGAGTTGACTACTGACTAAGCTAACTTGAGGGGATATTAATTCACTAAACAAGTCTTACTGTATTTGCCCTTCATTCCATGGAGGCAGCTACAACCAAAAAAAATCAATATGATTGGAGGTGACTGGCCGTCCATTGTGTGTTGGGTTGCATTGTTGGGAAATACATTAAAAATTGCATTGGTTATTGTGAACATTCCTAATGCAGTTCTTGGGTATTGCGACAACCGTGCAAAAAATCAAAATAACACATCCCAGGTTTTGGTACATAATTTAAAGAATGTATGCAAATACAGTTGGGGTGGGGGGGGAATGTTTTAATAAGACTTAATTGGTAATTTAAAAAGAAAATAGTGAAAATATTTAATTTCGTATAATTGCATTCTGATTGCTTAAGCTGCACATGATGAAAATGTACTGTATAATGATTAAATGCACCAATTTATAATTATTAGCACTTGATTTAGGCTTATTGCACACATATTATACGGGCAAATACTTTAAACAGTTTTTAGGCACTTTAGTTTCTTTATTTGCCATCACTACTAAATGTGCAGATTGGAAGCGGCAATTGAAACTGAATTCAAAATGGTCCGGCTGAAGTCTTGCACACCATCTCGGCAATCGCAGTAAAAGCGGCCATCAGGGGGCTCTTTTCCTCTCTGCTACTACTACTGTCTCGTGTCCGTCCGCTTGTAAAGCAACAAGGTGCCTCAAACGATCTCTCTCAAACCTCCAGTTTTCAAAAAAAAACTCCTTTGTGTAAAACTACTGAACTTTTGTACGCGTTTTAAACGAGTGAAAAAAAATAATCTTTGTAGTAAATTATCAAAAAAAAACTTGTGTGACTGGTTTGCTTTTGCGTTTTAAGTTTAGTTGCAGTATAATGCATCGTGTGTTTAAAAAGAAAAAGAAAAAAACCTCTTTAAGTATCGGAGTTTTTTTTGTTGGCACTTCAAGGGTGAAAAAATTGCCCTCCACAGAGTCGAGACCCCATCTAGGATGTGCAAACTTTTTAATTGTTTACGCCCGGGTGTTTTTACAAGTGAGAATTTTAAAGCATAGAATTGTTTCGTATAGCAATGTTCTTCTTGTGTACTTTTGCCATTCAGTACATATGTTTCATTTATTTCTAACTTGTTTGTGGTTCAGGAAAGAAGATATTTTAAAAAAACATTTTGTGAAATTCATTACAATCACAGAACTGGATGGAGTCTGCAAGGTTTTAAAATTAAATTTGCACCTTTATTAAAGTATGATCTTAATAATATCCCGAAACTGTGGCATTAAACTGCTAAAACTAACAATAGTACCTGTGCTCAAGGTTACCCCAACAGACGTGTACATTGACTTGCTTGACCCTTTATAAGTGTAATGATGTAAAGTTATTACTCTGATTTTCCAATGGGCTTAAAGAGGTTTAAGGTACTATTTGTACTTGAAAGTAGGGGCTACAGTATTCTGTTTTTTTAAAGCTGTATCAATAAAGCCTCGATTTTAAGTTTTGAATAAATTGTTAAAGTATATAAATTCCTTACTTTTTAGATCCTTAGTTTAATTTATTCATCTGGACCTAATTAATTGCACTATATTATAAAATTGTATTTATTATGGGGAAATTTTCAAATATTTTGTAATCAAAATACATTTCTGCGCTATTGATTGTAGAATTACATTAGAGTTTTGAAGTAAATCCCATTAGATGTGTTCCTGTATTTGTCATCAGCTGTGTAATGTCATGGGGATTCAATGAACTGGAATCTTAAAGTTGAGTTGTTGTAATTAATTTGTCACATGTACCATTCTGTCAAGTTTATGTCCTAAATTGTGTTTGCCTTGTACATGGAATAAATTTCGTGTACTGAAGAGCATTTAACGTCTGCTTCTCATTTTAGAAATATTATTTTGCGGTTGCCGAATATAATTTAACTTGCTCTGTATGCCTGCACATGTATCCCATAAGCATCAAAAGATATCGTAATTTAGCGATCAACCAAGTTGCCGCATTCGCATTCCATTGCGTAAAATATTCGTCTCATTTCCATATGGGCCAAATTATGGTTTGCAGCCTCTCTCTACATCTTTAGCTGCATTGTAGATGGCTCCATATGCATGCTCCACTTAGCAGCAGCGCATCTGAAATGTAACACATGCCGCTATTTAATTGTACACAACGGCTTCCTTACAAGAGTCTGTTAAACATGGCTGCATGGCATCACTTACTGTTGCATTGGCATCCCGTCATCATGATGCTAATGCAGGTTTGCTTAGAATAAACCCTTGCTGTCATAGTAACAGAGCCACTCACACCAGTTTTGCGTTGCAGATGCAGGGAACTGCTTATTGGGTCAACCCCATTATGAAAAGAATAGTTTTTCAATAATATAGTGTATGTTGATAAGTGGATCATTGTCCGAATATACGTGATTTTTTAAAATGCATTTTTGTTTTATTCTTGTTGTTTGAAAATAACCAACTGAATGTTGTTATTTGAGGACAGGTTTCATTATAACAGCTGTAGTTTCTGATAATGCTTCACGTTATATTTTTTCATTGCTCATTTGTTTACATTTTTGTGAATGGAAAGTTTGTTTTTAAGCATTGAGGTTTCTTTTTTAGCACCATATGTGTTTTTTTTTTGTCGGTTAGTTTATAGTTATCAAAAGATAAAAGTACAGGCATGGTATTGTCCAAGTTGTTTTGTGATCAAGCACATTTTTAAGTGCAACGATTTTCTTTCTTTTTTTGCAGAGTTGCTGGCAAGGTACTGATGATAAAGGAAGATGCATCATCCTACAATGGTGTTTTCCAAAACAGTACCCTTTACTTGATCCTATTGAAACTGTGTCCACTGCACCAGCACTTGCTGGTAGTGGTACTGAAATGCCTTGTTGAAGATTACAGATCAAAACGCAAGTCGTCGAACAGCACAATGGGTAAAAAACCTTGTATGTCAGCATTTTCAGATTGTAAAGTTTTATGTTGGCATCAAACCAAATTTCCATTTAACGAGAGCTGCAATGAATCTAGGAGTGGATGTCCTACTGGTCAACAGTTGGCAAAGGCGTCTAGGGCTTCTTTAAATGCTTCAGTTTTGTCAAACACATCGAACTATAATTCGAAGGACTCTGACAAAAGATACTGCACTCGTACAAGAACCGAGCCTCGGAGACGTTCTTTCAGGCGTCTCGCAAAGTCAAATGCAGAGTCTCTGAAACACCAGTCAGAACTTTTACCGCATGGTCCCGTGCATGTCAACTGCCGCAGGTCATGCTGTACAGCGCCGAGAGCAAGACAGTTGCGAAGAGGGAAGAGTCCATCTCCACCCACGCTTTCGCCTGTAGACTCGCTGGACGAGCTGGAAGACTGTGATTTTAAGCAGACATCAAAAATCGCATTGAGGAAGTCACGGCCACCCCGACTTGTGCCCCAAGACGATCGGGGAGAGAGCCCTCATTCATCTGGGAGCGAGACCTTGGTGTGTTCACGCAATTTCACAGCAGTACACACGAGAGGTTTGAAGGCTGTCCATAATGGAGAGTCTGATAGAGGATCGTCTGAAAGATATTCTGAAAAAGATAGTCTGGAGAGCACAGTCTTAGTTGATGAGCTCATGGACAGGATAAACCTTCGACTGCAAACCATCGAGACTACAGTGCAAATTGATGGCAGCAATCTGGTCTCCAGGTTGTCGGAAAGCAGCAATGAGAATAATGGGAAGAGGTTGTTGGATGATATCACATCGCTCATGCAGTGTACCAACGACAAGAAGAGAGACTACAGTTTGGTGGACCTGCTGAGAAAGCATGAAATTCACGTGGTGCAGACCCGGTTGCGAAGAAGACGGCAAAATCTTGGAACACTTCCGCAAACAGTGTGTTCTCCTACGAACGCAGCGAGTCATCGCCGGCCAGCAATACAAGTAAAAAATACACTTTCCGATTTAAATAGTACGTTTTCTTTGACTCCGTTTCACGCGACTGAGGAATCTTCAACTGATGCGACTTGGGAAGGAGATGATGGAACTGATATTGATTGCGCAGACAAAGAGAGCAAGTTTGATTCATTACCTCCTGAGAGCACAGATTGGAAACCTGCAATTCGGTGGCCTTCAATAAAAATAAACAGCCGTGAATTTTACCCTGCACCAAGTGAAGATTCTGATGTCATCTACGTTGATAATATTCCTGACGAGCTCAGTTATTCAGAAATCAATTTCAAAAGCATGCGGAGGAGTACCGCAAGGAAAAGCACAAGAGGAAATGTAAGCGGTCAAGAATGCTATGAGATGCAGACTATTTGGTTAAAAAGCACTGCAGACACAAGTGAAAACGATGTTGAACCACACCAGCCTCAGGAAAATGGCATATATTCAAAGGAGCACATGGAGGCACCAATAAACGGCATGGTAGATATTCCTCCATGTAAACAGGAAAACTGTAATTTTGAAAATGGGGAAGAACCTTTATGCAAGCACGGTAGAGTATCTTGCATTTCGGAAACGCAAACGTCATTGAAGGCAGAAAATGATTCATCAAAACGAGTGCCAGGACCCAGGAAAAGCAGCAGACTAATTTTGAAGCATAGAGCAGATGCTAAGACAAATGAACGTATACCATTGAACTCGCGGCATAATGTAAATGGCCATGAAAAATTAATGGATGAAAACACTCAGGCGGACGAAAAATTTGCAAGCTTTACAAAACGCTCGGAAGGCTCTGCAGAACACCAGAGCAGTGAAAACAGTGCTGCTGTAAACACCAGCACTGAGCATGCAGAGGCAACCGGTTCAGGAAATTACCAGCCGCCTTGTCAACAAAATACATTGACCGATGATGCAGTTGGGCTTTCTACCTGCAGTACCTTGTGTAGCTCAAGAGAGAGTATTCGTTCCGAATTTAAAGGCAAACTGTGCCACGATCAATGCGTACAAGGAAGGAAAAACGTTGCAGGAAATGTCTGCACACAGACGGGTGACGCGCCAACTATTAAAGGTGGCACGGGTGAAGTCGAGTTTACAGAAAATGCAACCACCTCCCAAAGCTCACCGGCAGTGCCTTTGAGAGACGGGGCTTCAAGCACTGCTTGGAAGAGCTTTGCAAAAGCGAGCAATAACGTTTCCGCAACTACAAGGTCACCGGTGACGAGTGACCAGCGAACCTTGAGGAGCAGTCGCCGACGCCACACGCAGTCTGCCGCTGTTGACGAGCGTGGCACAGAGCTGGGGAAGAAATCACCCTCGCAAACAGATCTGTCGGGCAAAGAGAAAGTGGAAGATTGCGAGCTGGATTTGGAAAGGAGACCAGGTGCATTGGACCACGCAGGGAGAATGGCCATCGAGAGTTCGTCTACTGTGCAGGAACGACAACCGCATGATGCACGCACAGATTCTCTCACTCCGACAGATGAGACTTCACTCAAGGTGAAGACTTCACTGAACGTTAAGTGCCCCGATGAAGCCCAAGAACGCCATAATAGAGAGGAATGTGGTTTGAAAGAAGAAGACATGCAAATGCCGTGTTCACATGACTCAAATGGGGATCAAAACCACCCCAAAGCGAAAATCAACTCAACGTGTGACAAGAAATTGCGTGGGATCGTCGTCGTTGATGAAGATGTTCAGTTTCAGGGAAATGTGATGCCTCAAGGGGATATACCTCCGTGTAGTGTCTGCCTCAATCCCGACTGTTCACGTGAATGTTTACAGCCTTGTCACAGTGAATCGGAGGCTCGGGGTGACGTGCAAAATTCTCTTGAACCCGATTCGAACGACGGAAGCTCAAGTTTTTTCGAGCTGAAATCTTCCTGCACCATGGAGTCCCCACCGAATGACACAGGCACATCCACACCATCCTCTGACGGTGCTAAATGGTCCAGATCTGAATATATGAAGTTGTTATGGAAAAAAAGACACAATATTTTGGCATCAAAAATTACATTTTCCAAGAATGTACAAGATGCTGGTGAGCAGACACCTGAAAATAACAATTCGTTGATATCGAAACTCGGACCCAGGCTGTTTTATGAGAGTTCCTTGCAAAATATTTCAACTAAACCACCCATATGTAAAAGTCATCGAAGCTCTACCAGTGTTCATTCCAGCCAGACACAAAGTACATCAGAGGAGCAAATGCATGAATTGCACATCAGCGAATTGAGTAATA